TGAATAGCGAACCAAGTTTGTTGAAAGTAACCATTTAAAAAAAAAAAAAAAAAAGTTGTTGTTTAAAGATTCAGGGTAAAGAATACATCCCATCATCTAGTGTGTTAATAAATTCCAATGAAGTATTATATGTGTGACCCTGCCTAAGCACAGAAGAAAAATGTGTCTCTGCAAATCCAAAATTTTCTATAGGAGAGTGCCAGTTTGCCACCAAAAAAAAAAATCTGCCAGGAAAATCAAAAGAAAGTATTTAGTTTCAGATTGTAGCTGTGGTGATCCAGGAAATGTACAGAAGGTGAGTTCTTTTGTGATAACTTTTGTTGGACCAACTGTATAGTTAGTTGGAAGAGAAATCTGAAAAGTTTCCAAGCACAAAGAAGCCAGAAGAGACCAGAAGGGCATTTGTACCTGAAAGCCTGTCAAACTCCTTTCCCAGCTGATCCAATAAAATATATCACAAAGAACCCCTGCCTCTTGTTTAGTTTCAGCCAAATTGACTCAAATTGATTTTTTTTTTTTAAGTGAATAAGATGTTTTGAATCAGTTGAATTTTAATTGAAGGGTCTCATGGTATATCATAGGAGTTGTAGTTCTGGGGCCTTATGCCATCGTTTTCCAAAAGGAGCAGGCTCCCTGTCTGGATTCTATTTTATGGGTTACCTTGCAATGTCCTGTCCAGTTGAGCTACATGAGTACATCACTGTATTACAGTGATTCATGTTTATCACAGAGGACATTGGGTTTGTACATATGACATGATTACTAGACAGTAAAAGTTTTCAGTTAAAAAAACACTCAAGCAAAATAGTTCAATTCAATGTCCAGCTTTGAGTAACTTAATTTCCATTGAAAATGCTGACATGAAACAACAGCTCTAATAAATGTATTGAGTGAGAACATCCCAGATAACATAAAAATACAAATCACATGGGGAATAAAAAGCTGCCTTAATTTCAAAATCTACTTTCAAGATTTTGTTGGACAGATGGATAAATTAAATTAAAGAGTCAATGTAAAGGTATAAAATGCACTGGTAAACCATCATTTTCAGACATACGATGACATTGAAAACATGGCCATAATTTGTAACTCTCAGCAGCAGAATGTAGGGTGGCAGGAACCAGGGACAGAGACCTGGATCAGATCACAAAGCTGGTGGACCTAAGGAGGCTATTGAAAAAAAACACAGCAATGAGAGACACTCATTCAGCTCATCTCTGGTAGAGGGCCAGCTAAAATGCCAATGTCCTTCTAGTTAAGTCCATCTGTCCTCCTTACTCAAATATCTCTTCCCTTACAAGTGTAGCTGAATGAAGACCTGCCCCTTGCATTTACAGAGGTCAATCTAATCTCCATTCTCTTTTTTTAAGGGTTTTTTAATGGTTAAAACAGAAATGAAACAAATCGGTACTGTGTTACTGTTAATAGTTTGCCGAGGAATAAGCTAATTGGGGAGTATTTTGCTTTGGGTTGCATCTGTTTAACCACTTGCTATACTTTTAAACCCAACTTTTAAATAAGAGGACAAAAGGCCCATGCTTTACATCCCCCACACACATGCATAAAATTATGAAAGAACATTTGCATATGCAATTAACATACTTGTTCATGAAAACTGGGCAAATGTGAAAATAGCTACCTAGTTACATGCTTAACTAGCCACCTGTGTGGACAATCACTTATTTAATGCCCATGTACATGGTAATTACACAGGTACATTTTTTCATGTAAACTTTGGGTCTCTTATGTGAAAAACAGTTCAAAAAAGTATGTGTCAAAACATTTCTAAAAGATCTGTGTTATATCTTACATATTTTGCTCACAATAAAATATGGTCTCAATTTAGATTTCAAATCGGAAGGGAATAAGAGTGTACAAATCCCCTTAAGAGATACAAGAACCAGCGACAGCTCTCAGGAAGAAGGAATAGACCAATGGGCCAGGAGACGGAAAATGTTCAAAGACAGCAAAAAGTGTGGTTCCACTGGAGGGAGCTCTATCAACAGTACTATCACCGAGGGATCAGGTGAGTACACATTGTTTTTACAAAAATATGCCAACTTGTTTATGTGACTGACAACTCTCTCAGATTCATCAGCCCAGGAGATTCATCTTTAGTTGCAGAGCCTCTGTGTTAGATATAGAGGCAGCTTATATTGCTTGCAGCGAAAGCAGATATGTGCATTGATTTATCAAGCTTTAACTTAATACCTCATATTCATTTTGGATAGGGATGTAGCACCCAAGGAGGTAAATATTGTTCCTGATTCTGACAGTGTATGTAGACAAAATGGGGGCCTTGAACTGAAGCGGTAGGTTTTTAAAAACACTGCTTCAATTTAAGGCCAACTAACCCCCGTGTTGTGCACACACCCAACTTACCTGCCTCTCCAGCAGTGGGGAGGGCAGGGCGAGCTGCTGGTGGGCAGAGTGGTCTCTGGGCTGCAGGGGGTGAAGGGGGGGGCTGGCGCTTCCCCCTGCAGCAGTGGCGGCCTCCCCCAGGCAGCACCTGCCCACAGGCACCTGGCTCAGGCGGTCCTGGGCGGCACCACAGCCATGGAGGGAAGCACTGGGCCTCCACGAAACTCAGACAGGCAGGAAGGATCCAGGAGAAAAGAAAAAAAGATCAGGCTTGCTGCTTTTTTTTTTCCTGTCTTGGGCAGAGTCTGCCTTCCCAGGCTGCTGCCAGGCTGCCTGCAGGGCTTCCTGCAGAGCCCCTGAGCCTCATGGAGCCTGGTGCTTTGCTCCATGGCTGGTAGGGCAGAAAACTAAAACTCCTCAGAGGTGTTTTAGTTTGCTGCGCCCAAAGTCATTTAAGGCACATTATGCCTCCGAATGTGCTACAGTGGCTGGAATTAATGCTCAATACACTGCCAATGCATGCACACACCGACACCATTAAAGCAGTGCAAAAGCATTTAGCCCACTTTAAAGTGTCATGCCCCTTGTTTTGTCTACACATGCCCTGAGACTTATGTCTAGTTCTGTTTTCTCTAGGATTACTGTCTGTAGGTACAAACAAAATCATACCATAAAAATCATAAATATTACTTCTCCATTCCCCATATCTTACGATCCTGTCTTATCCAACTGAACTATGATTTCTCCTTCCCTCTGCCCTCCTCCAGATTGCAAAACAAAGAACATGTTTGCTAATAAGGCCCAGATTCTCTTTACTCCCATTGAATTAAATCAGGATTGTCCAACTTCCAAGAAGTCAGGAGCCACATGCAGTACAGGCTGCAAAAGCCGCATGCTGCATGGGCCACCACAGGGCGAACCACAGTCCCCAGGCCATGTGCAGCCCCCACCTCTGCACTGCATGTCTCAGTGGCTTCCCTGCCCGCCACTGCACTGCGCACCTGCATAGGCACATCCCAGGCTCCCACTGCTGCTTCATGTTCCCAGGCAGCCCCAGACTCCCCTTTTGCTCCCTCACTGCACTGGGGCAGGGGCAGGAAACAGCATCTGGAGGAGGAAGGGGCTGGAGAAATAGGGGGAGTGGCAGCTGAGCAGGACCCTGGCAACTTAACTGCTTGTGGGCTATATGCCGATTGAACAGCCCTGAGTTAAATCGTTCTCTTCAAGTAATGTTATTACTATTATTGATGGGACTTCTCACAGAAGCATGCTGAGCATGGAAAAGGATGGTGTAACATGCTCCTAAATGTGTAATATAGGATTCTCTTTGTGCTATAGGTACTCCCCCCCATTATCCTGATACATATTCATCCAGCACTTTTACCCCAACCTAGCTACCTGGATCGTGCCCTCTGCTACTCAAACAGCTTTTTCCAGTAACTGTCTCATTAAGGAATCTGTCACCTTGCCACATGCCTCAGCATATGCCAAACTCAATGGCTCAGAGTCTCATGGGGCAGAATTTTCAAGATGAACAGCTTAATGAATTTACACTTCATGCAGATGGGTTTTCCATGCAGGAACTGTACTATCTAGGAAACAACATATGTTCTACTTCTCACACAACATTGGCTTTGCCTCCTTGTTTCCCAGTTTAGTGAAAGTCTTTCTAGATAAATGATTTTTTTTATCTTGTCTAAGAAATGTAAAAATGCATTTACACAGAAGCATGTTTCCATTCCCAACAAAAATATTTTCTATCAGTTTTGGGTTTTGTTTTGGGTTTTTGGGGGTTTTTTTTGCGGGGGGGAAGGGTTTTTTGGAAGGAGGGTTATGTGGCTTGTTTGTTTGCATGCTTACTAAATGGAAGGGACTCTTTAAAGACTGACAGCTGTGAAGTCTATGTCTTCAATTTATTTACATAGTGCAATAAAACATAAGTAGTTTATATTTAGACCCTTTACATTTCCCGCTGTATTAAAGGTATCACTTTTAGAAATGAAAGGGTCAGAAATTCTTTAATGTCCACTAAGAATAGGAATGAGAGGACTAATTCGTTTTAAATAAATTTGTAAATAAAAAACCACAACGTCACCTGATGACAACAGTTTGCAATCACTACCAACTAAAGCCAGATCAAAACTCACTTCCAAGAGACACAAAGATTAAAAATCATCTGCGCCAACAGAACCACAACATTCTTCAAGCAGATGTAGCACTACAAATCTTGCCCTTAGTTCTTTTATTAATTCAAATAATAATTGCTTGACTGTATATACAGTTCTAAATTTGAACCGCTGTTTTTACATAGATTGTACACCTTCCAGTTTCACAGAGAACATGTGGATAAAACTACAGCAGCTGGAGCTGGTGCTGCTAGTTTCTGGCATATTGCCTTGCAATTCCTATAGCCTATCTGAGCTTGACTGTTGTCCATGAACACAGTAAATGAATTGGACCATTGTGTCAAGAATTGTAGCATTCCATAGTTTTAGTTTGTGTGCTTCAGACTACAACAGTGGTTCTCAAATATTTTAGATTCAAGGCACCCCTCCATAACTGCTTGTGCATTCAGAGGCACCCGGTTTCAAAAACTAATTTATTTATTATAGTGCTTATCTGCCTGAAGAGGGGCTGGGAAGGAGTAGGAGCAACTTATCTCCTAAGTGGAACCTACGCTTATCTTTCTTACCTCCTCTGTCCAAATGGCACCCTTCAAAGGCTGTCATGACATCCTAGGGCACCAAGGCACCATGGCTGAGAATCACTGGACTAGGGTTGCACTAACTCTGAAGCTATGCTCGATGCAGGAATAGGTTTGGTGGAGTAAAGGTGGTTTTAAGCAATCATTGTCTCTCTTTATATGCTTAGCACATCTCTTGGCATATGCAGACTTGAGACAATGCCAATCTATTTTTAGCTGCAGCATCCTACTTACTGCTACCGTAGCAGCCAAGAAGTGTAGCACGCTATGGCAAAGCCTCCCCCCACCTTTGCCCCCAAAACATGTCTGCCATATCCCCTGCAATAGGAGCTATGGCAGAGGACTGGCAAAGAGACATTTAAACAGCTTCACATTTCCTCCAAACCTCCCTTATGCTAGGGTATTCTCCTGGGGTCAGTTCCTCCAAGTAAACATCACCAGAACAACATGAGGGGGCAGGAATGGGACACAAAGTATGCTATTTTATGACTCACCCTGAGTTTGGGAAATGTCTAGTGCTGCTATAGTCTGAACAATGTTACACAACTACTGCCGAAGGACTGCACTATGCTAAATACCTCCACAGTTGCTTGGTATGTGACCTAATTTCTTCTTCATTTATAGATCAGGAAATGCCAGCAATCTAAACCACATTTTAAATACGACAACTCTTGTTATATCTGGTACTTTCCATTCTGTTAACCTTGTTCCTCTCCGACTTTCTGCATAATAAGGGAGAAAACATTAGATGTGGCATATTTACATCTGTAAACATAGTTAATCAATCTGTCAAAGCTATAGAAAGAGAGACACATCTGGTAAATAACGGGCTGAAAATAAGTGAAGAAGAAAAGCTAATTTCCATATTTTAAAATCTGAAACAAGAGGCAGATGCTCATAAGTCTAGCAACAGATCCATGCTAAACAAAGCAAACACTGTTATTCTCTTTTCAGTCTGGCTGCATTACTTCAGCTGTTTGCTCTCATTGTGATTTTCTGTGAGACTGTTCTACATTTTTTTTCTAAATTTGCTCACAAATATACAGCCCACCATTTTCTATGAGAACAATCTAGAATGCAAATAGTGCTGTGGCAGTGTTATCATGTGGAAGCAATATTAAACCACTCTCTACATTCATTCTGGTGAAATACATTCATGCAAATGCTGGATAATATTGTAAAAGGGTTCAGCAGACAAGATGCCTGGTGACCTAAGGTGTTTTATACCTAAACAGCCTATTAAAAAAAAACAACCTTCCCAATTAAGTGAAGTCCAAAGACGATTGCAGTTGGAGAAGATTGTTGGCATGCTCAGTGTTTTTACTACACATTTGGTAGCTGTTTTGTGTGTCTGTAGGAAGTGGGTCTCATCTCAGTTCTTAGTTGAGCTAGCTATAAAATGCAAATCCATGCCCTTCAAACATGCCATGGTTTTTAAACTTTTGTGCTATCCTAAGTTGAGATGAAAAGGTAAAAACCTTGAAATTGTTTGCAAGGAGGAATTTCTGATAGAGCAGAGTTTACCATTTGCTAGCTGTCCATCTGGAAGTGTCCTTTCATTTTCACTTTCAAAATCCATGATTGACTTCCAGGTGGGCTGCTGAAAGCAGGGTGCCACCCAGACTTTCTCCCTTTCACCTCTCACCATCTGGGTGCTGAAGAAATGTAGAATAAGATTATTTACCTGCCCTACTGCTACCCAGATGAGCCATGCCTTTCTAGCTATCTGCTCTTGAAATCCCTGTTTCTCAAAGCAGGCACAAAGTGCAATTTGCCAAGTGTGTTTCCAGTGGAGATGTGTCATTTCCATCCTCCTGATGGAAATCTCCAGTTTTGCAAATAGGGTATTTTCTGTAAAAATAATATTCCAGTGGAAACTTCCTGAGAAACCTGGGTTCCTAGTAGCTGACAAATACATATATTTTGGGTGGAAAAAATCATCCAGCCTGATATCAAAATTT